ATTTATAATTTGTTGAGAACGCTCACCTGGTAAGCCTGGACTTCACTCTTCAAGTTCCTACGAGGGCTTTCATACAGAATAATTGTTCGGTTGCTGTCATGTCCCAAACACCTGAACATAAGTTGTTGTTTGTATATAAATGGGATTTAATATTCATATTGGATACCCGATGGCGAGTAACAAAACACCCTCGTATAAGTAGTAATGTATTCGGAACTTGGTAGCCATTTATGTTAAAACGGGCACCTAATCTTATGGATGTATCATGTGATAAAACACTAAATTGAGTTTTAAAAATTAAGTAATGACTGATAACGGCGTGCGCTTTGGTGATGTCTTATATTAAAGTGCACTTTCAAAATTCAGCAACAAACGGGAATCGAGCACGCACTGAAAGTGGCCAAATATCAAACCGCGTATTGTAAAATTCAGGAATGGATGAGGATGGCGCCTACGGAAACTGGCAGATATCACACAAGTATACTGTGAACTGCAGCAACGATTGGCAATGGCGTGCACTGAGACTGACCAAATATCAGATTTACGTACATTGTACCTCGAGGACTAGTTGGTGAAGACAGCATGGTCAACTGAGTACTTGCGGACACTTGGGGGTGAACAGTGGACGATATTCGTATACACGCTTTAATTCTAATAATCGAATAAACGTTTACAATCTGAATATTGTATAAACGTTTTTATTCTAAATTTTCGTAGAAACGCTTTCATTTTGAATATTCGTATAATCAGATCAGCGACGGGCGTGAACGGTACAACTGATCTCCAAGAATACTGATACCTACGTACCAGTCCACTGTACATATAACAAACACTCGCTATGAATGGGGCCCATCGGCGTGCAGTCATATGCATACTACCATACAAGGCGTGAACCGGTGAAAATTAATAGCAAACGTGTATGATATGATACCCCGCCCTTTTAAATCTCTGACCTAGAAGACACCCGGCTATATACATCTCAAAACACACACACAGACACCCACGTACTACAACATCGACATTCAAAAACCACCTTCACACACACGCACACACACACACACACCCACGTACTACAACATCAACATTCAAAACCACCTTCACACACGCACACACACACACACACCCACGTACTACAACATCAACATTCAAAACCACCTTCACACACGCACACACACACACACAGACACCCACGTACTGCAACATCAACATCCAAAAACCACCCTCCCACATGCACACACACACCCTTTTTAGCATATGTGTTGACCACATACCGTTGCAACGCCAAACTCTCCAGCACACTGGGCCCGTGATCTGCGTTGGTCAGAGCCAGCTCAACCAGACGATCCACTTTGCCCAGAACACCGCGGAGACCGCTTTCATTCTCAAAGTGATGCGATGTAGCACTTTTGACAATCGCTGCCAGTGCACAACGGGTCCAGTACAGGTCAGCTATGTAGGCGTAGCGTTTACGCAGGCCGTGCAGACGTGCTTCCACGGCGTCTTGTTTCTGTAGCAGTGGGTGTCAGTATACATGTATGTACATGAGTGCTCTTGTTCATATTCAGTATAAATAGCAGTAGTGATTGAAGGTACATGTGTATGCAGCAGTGGGTGTCAGTATATATGTATGTACATGAGTGCCCTTGTTCATATTCAGCATAAGTAGCAGTAGTGATTGAAGGTACATGTGAATGTAGCAGTGGGTGTAGGTAGACATGTATGTACAAGGGTGCTCTTATTAATATTGAGTATAAGTAGCAGCAATGATTGAAGGTACATGTGTATGTGCATGCCTAGTCTCGAGTATAGCTTTATGCATTGTCAAAGTGTGTGCGTGTGAGTGTGTAGGTATCTATCTGCTCAGTGTCACTGAAGAAACTCTAATATAAACAACTTGACTGTGCACTACGCCGACGCACGGCAGTGTGTGGCCGTGTTATTACCTACCCAACTGTCCACATGCACAGACACGTCTTAAACACGCACGTGAGAAACCAAGCACATTCACTGCGATATCTTTTCAGTAGTGTTATCCGAGAGTATACGGAGGCAGCTCTAAACACTCAACCTTAAAAACTCTCTGCATCGCAGCACGGGTTACGAATGTGCGGAGAATGAACTGGTTTTCCCGGTTGTAGTGTCGCTGTGAGGGTACGCATATAGATATATTATATCGTACATGTATATTCTATACATATACATGTATTATATTCTACATGCATGTTCTATACATACACGTATATTATACTATTTTCTATACAAATACATATATAATATTTATACATTTACGGATATCAAACTATGAATGAATATTCTATACATAACGTATATTGTATTATACGTATGTATTCTATACATATACGTATATTATACTATACATGAATATTCTATACATAACGTATATTGTATTATACGTATGTATTCTATACATATACGTATATTATACTATACATGAATATTCTATACATAACGTATATTATTTTATACATATATATTCTATACGTATACGTATATTATATTATAGATGTATATACTATAGATATACATATATTAAATTATACATGTATATTCTATACATACACATGTAATATATTGTACAAGTGTATTTTATAAATATGCATATATTATATTATACGTGTATATTGTATAAGTATGCGTAGATCATATTGTACAAGTATATTTTAAACATTCAATTCATATAAACATATATTATAATATACATGTACACAAACATCGGTACAAACACGTGACACCCGAGTAAGGTCCAATACGTTACTTGGTCGGCAGTGTAGTCTGTGATATAACAAACAGTGAGCCTTTGGTAATGTGGTGACGAAGTGCGGATTGGAAGCGATTCCATATGTCATAGCCAAGTGGTCACGTACACACAAACACACACATATTATATAGTGAAACATACATACGAACATCAAAAGGAAAACACACACACATATATACATATATATGTGTTGAAACTTACATACGAACATCAAAAGGAAAACACACACATATATATATTTATGTATTGAAACATACATACGAACACTAAAAGGAAAGCACACACACACACACAGCTAACATACAACTTGCACATATCCATGCAATCGCCTACCTGTCTGGCCGTGAAGTCTGTGAGCACAAACAGCGAGTCTTTGGTGATGCGATTGCGAAGGGCCGGTTGAAAGGGATTGTTCTCGCCCGACATAGTATCGCACTTGCGCGTGATCATCTCACTCCACACTATGTCTTTGGCCTCTTCCATGGACAGGGCATCGTTGATCTGCACAGGGCCAGGGGAGATGAGGATGAAGGTGTATAAGATATGTAAATGGATGGGCTTTAAAGAGCCAGGGGAGATGGAGATGGATACGTACAGGACATGAGAAAGGATGGGCTTTAAAGAGCCAGGGGAGATGAAGGTGAAGGTGTAGAAATGGTATTTAAATGCTTCAGGGAGACAAAGATGTGCAGGTTATGTAAACAAAGATACGCACAGGGGCAGGGCAAGTGGGAAGAGCAAGTATGGTGATCACTGATGTAAAGTGGATGCTAATCGTTGATCTGCGTAGGGATAAGCCAATTCGGCAAAAAATGTATGTTAAAGAGACGAGGGTATGATTGTGTTTACAAACCTATATGAATATATATAAATATATATAAAC